GGGGGGGGGGGATCGAAGGATAACAGAGCTGAACGAAAGTACCTGAGGACCTCGGAGCCCTCGAGATCCGCTCGGTCCTTCCAGCCCTAGTGGACCCTGGACGAGGCAAAGAAAGGCAGAGGTCATTTACCAGCATTGGCCACAGGGTGGCGCCGTGCTGGAATGCAAATCGAGCCATGAAGTCATCGAATGGTTGCTACACACCTGGGGACCCCTGGGGCCAACAGCTCCAGGTGGTCCAAGGTCTCCCTGTGAAGACCAGAGTACAGAACATCAGAACAGGGGACAGTGTGTGACCAGCTCTCCCACCCAAAACCAAGCGCACTGCTCCCACTATTAAGTTAAGGCAGGTTCCCATCTCTCCCCCCCCTGCCCAAAACCTCCAAAAAACTCACCTGTGAACCATTCACCCCTTGAGCTCCTATGGCACCTGTCAGACCTTGGGCCCCCTGTACAAACACACACAAAACTATTATTTCAAAGAATACACGGCTTACCTATCATTATTTAATCAGAGACGTTGTAAATCAGCGGATAAAGAGCGGAGAACGGCAACAATAAAAGAACAGCATGTGCACTGTAACTCACTACTGCCCCCGGAGGCCCGGGAATGCCGTCAGGCCCATACTCCCCCTAGAAAACAAAATACAAAATCCCGCTGATCTGGATGAGAGTCACAGGGTCATGGGTGCCATTCTAAAGCTCAGCCAATCCAGCCTAGTGAGACGGTTTCAGTGACTCACCTGGGGCCCTGGGGCCCCTTCCACTCCTGGAGCCCCTCTGAATCCCTGTGGCCCCTGAAGGTCATATGAGAAGAAGCATGTTCCTTAATTCTGCTTGTTACTCCAGTGGCCGAACAGCTAGTCAACGTGTGGTGCTCAATACAGTGCTGGCGTCACCCTGAGAACCGCCATTTTCAGTGATTCTGAATGACGTCTGTCACAGAACGTGGGGCAGAGCTTCCCAGTAGCATGTGATGCGGCTCTACTTTTAGTAGCTCCCGTTTCATGAATGCATGCGAGTCCTAATGTCTTCCTGTGTGTGGGGTTGGTGGGAGGCTTTCATAAATAACATATCTGATATTGAACTAACAAGGAGCAAGCGAGCTGGTAGGTGAAAGCTGTCCAACTAAACAGAATGTGCGTCAGAAATGACTGATTTGTTTTTAGATAAAGATTAGAAGTAATCAGCAGAATATACTTTACTAAACATTTTCTTAATAAACATCATTGCCATAATTATTGTGTAATTTAACAAAATATGGTGCCTTTATTTTCCCTTTTTGATTGTCCCCCTGGGTCGCCCCTCCATCCGTGCCCCCCCCCCCCCCCCCCCCCCCCCCATAAAATAATCTGAAGCTTGCACTGGCTTACAGGTCTTAAAAATGGTGTCCATGCTGGTCTGATCCACTCACTTTAAGAACAGACACCATCATTTTAAAAACCTTGGGCTGACTGCTACATGTCATCCTAGCACAAACGCTGGTCCTGACAGAATGCCACTAGGAGGCGATGTGGTTCCTGATAGACTCACCGGTTGCCCCACGGGACCCTTGAGGCCGGGCTCCCCTTTGGATCCCTGAAACAGAAAGACAGACGTGAAACCAAAATATTGTCTGTTGACAGTGTCTCAGTCTGAGAAGGGTAAGGCATGAATTTTAACATTAGCTCCCTTCATTTGTGGAAAAGCAGACCTGCTGAATCCCTCAGTATTTCTCAGATGAATTAGAAGGTGTGAGGAATCTTGCATTATCTTTGTAAGAGAGATCACTGCGCATGACTTTTCACTAAGACAGCTATTGTTCTCAATCCCAGTTTGAAGAAGGTATTCCAAAATATTTAAGCATTGGGTTGAAGTAATTATTACGCTAATTGAACCAATTTAGCAGTTAGCAGTTGCTCAAAGTGCTAAAGCCAGTAACCCACAAGAACCAGGGTTGAGACACTGACCTCAAACCTTAAAAAAGGTTATGTCAGGAATTGGAAGATCGCAATCTCTTTTGTATGTTGCCCACCACTTGGTCGCGACATAGTGCATATATGCACACACAAAATATTAATGTACAAGTGGATCAAACGACATTGAACATTCAGTGTGAATGTTGTGGTTTTCATTGTGGGAGAAATTGAAGTACCTTCTCTCCTGGGTCTCCTTGGTCTCCATAAGGTCCTCCATGTCCAACTGGACCCTGGAAAAAGAAATCTCTCCAGCATATTTTGCAAGACCATCTTAAATGATGATAGGCACAAAAGTCACTATTTAAAATGTCAGGTCTCTCACATGCATCATTCCTTATTTGTCAGTGGATGCCACATCTGCCGGTAATAATGAGTTCAGATTATTTCAATATACACTACCTGGCCAAAAAAAAACGTTGCGCACTTTAATATTTTGTTGGACCACCATTAGCTTTGATTATAGTATACATTTGTCAGTGCATTGTTTGCACATACAACATCTGAACATCTGATGTGCTGAAAAGGACTTTACAGAGTGCTTCAACTCATCATCAATGCAAGATCTCAACAAGAAATGAATGCAAATCTGGAAAAAATGTTGTTAAGACACCATGGTGGTCAGTTCATGAGTGAAAATGATTCCTCATGCTCCCTGAATCACTCTTTGACAATTCGAGCCTGATGAATCTTGGCATTCTCATCCTGGAATATGCCCATGCCGTTAGGGAAGAAAAAGTCCATTGATGGGATAACCTGGTCGTTCAGTAGATTCAGGAACTCAGCTGTCTTCACTTCATTGCTGCATAATGTTTCTGAGCTGTAATAATGATCCAATAATTGGCTCTTAAGTACTTGCTAATTTAAATTCAAACAGTGACTATATATTTTTGGCCAGGCAGCGTATATTTAACATTGAGAAATACCAGGTAACCTGTTAGCTTCAGGATGCTTTAGTGAAGACTCCCTCCTCTCCAGAGCAGCAGTAAAAAGGTAGAACAATAGGCGAAAGGGTTAAAGTCTTCAGGCTAAACACCTTTGTCTGCACACTCGGCATAAAGCAGTCATTCTAGTCTAAGCTCTGTCCAGGCTAATTAACCTTGTTGTTCTACTTGATTTTTTTTTGCATGAAAGCACACTACAGGCCCCTCAGGCTAGAGAGATAATTTGATATTTAAATAATAAAAAATTTATTCCCAACCATATACTATAAAATAAGGCTGCCCCAGCATGGCTTGAACAATGTGCGAAGAAACACTGCCCCCTTGTGGCTATCTAAGGTACTAAAGGTAGCGGAAGGCGTCCGCACTCTCCCCAGCCCTTGGATGGGTGCCCACATGACGTACTGGCTCTGCTTCTCTTACCTCGTCCCCCTTCTCCCCTTTCTGTGCTGCTTCACCTTTATAACCCTGAGGACCCTGGTGAACATGCAGAAAAAAAATCGAATCAGGAATGTTCACAACGGCCACGAGTGTATGAACCACTTACTCTGATGCTGTGTTACCATGGTCAGGCAGAGAGGAAGTCAGCAAGAGCAACGGCGACCTTTGCCCTCACCCGGAGGCCTGGTATCCCAGGGGGCCCTGGCTGCCCGTCAAATCCATGTTCCCCATGCGTCCCGCTGTGCCCCTTTCGGCCTGGCATGCCCATCGGACCTGGCTCACCCTGAAGAGGGCACAGTCACACGAATTGGGGTGACACAAAACTTCATGCATTCCTATATTCGATAACCTCAAACGTGTGTGAGTTTTTTGTTTTTCTGGGAATTCTGCTTAGTTTAGAAGTTTAGAATTTCTGGTTGTTTAGAATCAGACTGCTCATGTTCTTCATGAAGTTTGCCGCAAACACTGCAGTGAAAAACGCCGGAGACGGCACCAGGCAGCTTCCATAAAACCAGCCAGACGACACCAGCGGGACACGATGTCATCGGTAACATCTCTGCTGCCACCCGTGGATGTAACGCGAGCCTTTCCCACATCCTCACATAATCAGGAACAGCTTTCCGTCTAAAGCAAACCAAGCTGTGGAAAGTCACTTGTAACCAAACGGCGCCACGTGTCTCGACGCGAAATGAATTGGAACGGCAGACAACAGCAAACTCTGTGGTCCGTCCTGGTTGGCCAACACGCCTGAATGAGAATCTGACAGCTTTGATTGAAGGTGACCTCCAGTAACATTGTAAGCCTTTCATATGATTGGTGACATCTCACCGTGAAACCTGTGCTCACTGTGCAAGTGTGTTGAGTAGCATTGGAGCTAGTTATGGGAAAAACAATGCTTTTGGGCCTACAGTGACTGAGCAGGCTTTCCCCTACACCATCAATAAACCTGTGGTTTAACCCAGTGAGAGCAACCAACAGGAATGGTGATTGACAGTCTCACCCCCTCCCATAGCTTTTAAAGAATGATTATTGTTTATCTGAAAGAACTGGATCTGTGGCTAAAAGGTTGCAGACTAAACGCGGTTTTGGGAGAGGAATCCAACAGGAATCTTTATTAGCAATTCATCCAATCAGTTCTGCATCCATATTTCTGTTACTGGGCTGTATGTGTATAATGATACACATACAATAATAACATGTTTCCATTTACGCTTTTAAGACTTCCAATGAAGTCTTTAAAGCGATTAACAATAACAAAAGTGACAAACTTGTTTTTTTTTTGTTTTTTTTAAGCTAGTATTTAAAAAGGTGGTTGGGATTGCCATCTTTGTGGGAATCTCTGCACACTGTCAAGAAGCCCACAGCAGTACAAACACACCAACAGGATTCCACTGCTATCTGCACCCCTCACAAAACAGGGTGGGGAGGCCAGCCATCACACTGCCTGGCCGTGTCTGCAGTGCTAAATCACCCGGGCTTTGATGTAGAGGCAGTCTGGAATAGTGCTAAATCCCCCCCACCCCAACCAAGGATCTTTCAGCTGTGAAAGCTAACTCACGGTGGTAAGGTGGACTCTGTTTATGCGGCGTGTGGGGGAGGGTGCATTACACACCGTCATATTTCACACATGGGTTCAACAAAGAAGGATTTATTTAATTACACTCTGACCCCAGTGGAATAAATCTGACCTCTGCCTTGACTGAAGAAATCCCTGGGTGGCCATGTCTCATTGATCAGAACAAACATTCTTTATATTTTAGTGCCAGAAGAATAACAGCTGCCACCTAATCTGCATGCTACTGGCGGAATAATCCACTGAGTGACACGGGGGAGAGAGCGGGATCGCATATCTGCCGTTAACAGGGACGCCGCTATGGTGTGGGGTCCAAAACAGAGCGCCTCTAATCGGCAGTTCGCTGAAAGAAGATTAAGTATGTTAACCCCAGTGGACCCATTAAAGTCCCATTAAGATCTTATCGCCAACATAAAGGCCATGATGTAATCCCCCTCCAAAACAGTAAATATTCTGTCACCTTAAATGGCAATAAAAAGCTGCCAGGCATCGCAGCGGCAGGACGGTGGAGCGGGAGGTGCAGGAATGGGGGGGGGGGGGCAAAGTGAATATGTGAAGTATCCCTGAGTAGCACCATGTGCACAGGTGTTGATGACCACCAATGACGAGCAGCAACTGACAGGCAACCTGCTAAATCGAGCAGCGTATCGCTCATGAGTGTCTATAGGTTGTTGGTTCGAATCCCAGGCCATGTTGGACCCTTGACCGAGGCCCTTAAGCCAGGGGCTACAGAGACACTGTCTGCCCCTGGTCTCTGATCCTCATATGTCCGTTGCTTTGGAATGATAAATAAAATGTTAATATATGCTATGGATGAGGAGCTGTTATTTCACTGTCTCCCAGTAAGCCTCCCAGTAAGACTCTCCAGCAATGAGGCTGTCTGGCCCTGCCTGGTCCTCATCCACCCCAACAGCATTCGGCCGAGTTGGCCTTGGGGTTCTGCTCTGACCACAAGGCTGGGATACTTGCATACTTCATAGTTATCCCTGTCCCGAGTGGGGGAAACTTAATCCCCTGTATTGTGTCAGTTACCATGTCTCCTTGGCGTCCAGGAACCCCTTGCTGCCCTGGGTCCCCAGGGTGTCCCTGTGTAGAGGCAAAGATGGCAGTCAATGTGATGGCTCATCTTCAATACTTTGTTATAAGTCTGGTATCAATAAGTAATGTGCAATCTGTGTGTATCTCACCGGCCGGCCAGGTCTTCCCATCTCCCCTTCTGGTCCAGGAGGCCCCTGCACCCTCTGAAAGCTCATAAAGAGGAAGCTGTTATCAGAGGCTGCCTGAGACCACTCCCTTCCCACCCACATCCAATCATAATGGGACACGCCCACTTACAGTCACAAGCACCACACCCAGTACCATTGACAATAATTGCTGATCCCGACCGGCCACACCCACTGCCAGTTAGTCATTAGTCATGCCTACTTCCAGGCAAAGGCAGCCTTGGAAAGGATGTTTACTTACAGGCCAGCCGGCTTGGAGTAACTGGAAGAAGGAGCTTTGCTAGGGGAAGAAGAACACATATGGCATGAGTTAAAATGGGACTGGAGCAAAGATGGATGCCAATTCTGAAAGCAGCGGCCACATCAAGGGAACGATTCTGCTGAATATCCATGGCGTTTATTGGGTCGTTACTCTAACGGCTTCCTTGGATTGCCCAGGCGTGGTGTCCTGTCAGGTAGAGAGATCAGCAACACAGCCGTTTATCGGTCTCGTCCCTCTTCAGCCCAGATGCAGACGCCATGGAATATTAAAGACATGTACTGTACCAGTATTACTCAGCGTTGTGCTGCACTGACAGCATACAGCACTGAGCTTTAAGCTCCGTATGTGAACACAGATTCCAGGTGACGAGAGGAACAGCATGGCTTGTGGACGGGATTATCTTGTGCTGTTTATGTGACATGAAGTGCCTATGAACCTCACACACCATTAGTTCTGAAGCTGTACTGCTTCCATTTTACCCATGCATTACCTTAACTGCTAATATAAATACCAGTGATGGGAACAAGTCATTCCTTGGGGAGTCCGAGTCAAGTCTTGAGTCAAAACCTTGCCGTATGAGTCAAGTCTCAAGTCTTTTGCCCTCAAGTCCAAATGGAGTCCAAGTCCTTCCATCATTTTTGTCGTCAAGTAAAAAGTCATAAAATTTGTGACTCGAGTCCAAGTTGACTTGTAAGTTATGTAACTTGAGTCCCTACCTATGTCAGTTTTTTTTCCTTTAGTGGTTAAAACTAAAAACCGCCACAGTACATCGTAGGATACGTTCTTTGTAGGCAGAGATAGATTGAAAAGAGACTGTCCACTTATGGATATCCTCTCACATATTTTACGTCCTTGGATTTGCAGAGAGTGATGCATGTTTCCAACTACCTCAGGAGACCTTGCATTCAGGCAATTGAAAAATAATACAGCAGAGAATTCATATACACTGAAATTATAAAATTACAATGATGGTATCCAGAGGGGGACTATAACCTCAAATCTTCGAGTCATAGGGTCCAAGTCGGGTCCAAGTCTTGAGTCGAGTCACAAGTAATCAAATTTGTAACTTGAGTCCAAGTCGAGTCATGAGTCACTGACTCGAATCTCTACCGCTGACAAATATTGTAACACAGGGGCAACCCTACCTTTTCAGGGGCCTTAGGCAAGGCTTTAGTTGGAGGGCCCCCAACAATGAAAATCAATGATCATTTCACTTCCTCAGCAATGGAGGTAATGCAGGGGCCCTGGGCAGCTGCCTACTCTGCCTTTCGATAGAGCCACACCTGTTGTAACCATTTTTCCAAACAAATTCACCAGCATGTGAAAAATATGCAACCAGGAAGTGCAAACTCTACACCATGGCTGCTGAATTCATACCTGCTATGGCGAATTTGAACTGGCTCATTGCTCATTGCTCAATGACATAAATGGCGTGTATGGGAGATTTTACAATTAACGATAGATTCTGTACCATCAGATACAGGCTTCTTGCTCATCAGAAGGGTGTCCAGTGCTCCAGTGTGGTGGTGAAACTAAGGGGTTTATGTTTCAGTTTGTATCAGTGCAGCTTCTATAAAAACAGTGTTAAACTAAACAAAACACTGAGGGGGAAATCTGCAAAATTATTTGGAGACACAAATTAAATCCCCCCTGTGGAGTAATTTACATCTGAAGCTGTTTATTATGCTTAATCCATCACTGTCTTTAACAGTTTTCTTTTCATTTAATTATGCAATGCACTGTGATAAAAAATAATTGTTTCAATGTTGTCCTATGTACATTGTGTCCATTGTCACCATAAAGACCACGCATTTGAAATGTCTTGACTATAATTGCCAATTGTGTCATAACAGATTTTTTTGTCTTACATTCAGAGAGATAAACAAAACAATATGCATGTTAAATGGTACGTGTTAAAGCAGTATCCATAAATCTAATTTATTAACAGAATTGTTTTTAAACACATTTCATTGTGATTGTTTAAGTCATGTTTAGGAAGCATATCTTTATTACAAAAAGTCCTTAACTGGCAATGATGTTTTTAAAAACAAGATAGTAAATAGGATTATTTTACAACAATATGCACAGAAAGTGATTAATGAAGTCTTTCACTGATGAAACCATTGTACAACTCGGTAAACGCTGAGTGGTATAATATGTAATGTTAGCACGGAGAATATGCTTTTAAAGCAAGACCATTATCAGTGGTATTTCAGTCCATCGTTTTAGCAAAAACCTTTACATCCAAATACAAAGACCATAATTCCATGCGTGAGATATGCATCACTTCCTTACCCTGAGATGAGATTTACTGATGGAGAAGGTTTACGCCACAGGTGAGGTCTGCACCTAGACCCATCTCCAAATTGAAAAGTGCCATTTTGAGGTGCCAAGAGTTCCTTTTTGATCACTGACAATCACCAACTTAGCAAACCGCAACCCGAATTTCATTTCAGCAAATATAAACAAAATGTACAGTACTATGCCTGGGTTAGGCACCTGCCCTGATAGGGAGTTGGGAGGGAGCAAAAATGTGAACTGTCTGCGGGTCGCATTGGACCGGGTTGGGAAGCACTGCTCTACAGACCCAGGGGCTGGAGAGCCCAAGGATCTGAGCTGAGCTTATGAACCTAATTTCCATGACTGCTGCAAGGAACACATCCGTGTGTGTAAAAGGGCTATGGTTATTAGCTTTGGTTAAGAGAGTTCCCTCAGTATGATTTACTTGCAGAATAGGGCACCGTTCACATGTGCAAAGACGAAGTCACACCCAGAGAAGGGGGTCCTTATGGAAGACACCACTGCATCTCACAGCTACGGTTCTGAGGAATGCCTTCGCTTTCCCAAAAGCTTCAGAGATAAAGCGAGTGAGGGGGCTCATTCATAAATCTGTAACCACTACAGTGAGTGAGACAGCCTGTCTGCATTGCTAGGGAGGCAGGGGACTGGGTGTTTACTACCGTAATCGACTGTGACCGACTGTAATCACCCACGCCGTTAACCAGGCCCCAGCCGGGAAAATGGTCCAGGGCCTCCCGTGGAGGAGTCCTGTCTGGGATTAATGCGAGAAAACATCACACGTTTTTTGGAACGCTTTGTTCTCAGGCCCAAAACAAAAACAAATCAACTAAATGTCCCTGCAAGACGAGCGCGGTTGAGGCTAAGTTACAATTAAAGCTAAAACATTCAGAGAAGCATGACTACAGACACTCCCTTCTGTGATGGGGGGGCGCTCAGACACTTCTACCCATCTCCATCCAGCCTTCTGTCACTGCGTTCTGCCCTGGCCCCCCCCTTTGCCAGTTTCTGCAGTGCCGGGTCAGATTTGCTGTCCCCCTTTCATCACTGTGAGTAACCTGCTCCCTCTACAGACAAACCTAAAAGAGAAAGTGCCACTGATAGACGGTAAAGGTGAGTCAAAAGACTATCGAGGTCTCCTGTTCTAGTGGGTACTGGGGCAGCCCTGGTACTGGCTGCAGAAGAGCAACTGTTCTTCACAAAACATCGTTTGTCTGGAGTAGATGAGAGCGCCACAGCCTGGTGGGTCGTCACCAGGGCGCCACGCCTCACTGCCGCTCGCCGTCTTTGTCCAATCAGAGTCTGACCAAAAACGTGGTCTGGAAAGTTCTGGGCCCAACGGTGAACAGCTCCGCTGTGCGAATGTGAAAAGGAGCGCATGCTGTAAGGTGGTGTAATAAGCGGATTTCAGCGGAAGTGGTTTTAGAAAAAAAATGTACTTCTATTGTTTGAAAGACATTAACATAATACAAACCTAGCTGCTAATGCTTCACCTATTCACATGTGATTCTAATATTTTTTTTTAAGGTGGAGGGCATAAAAGGGGCCACGATTCATACCGAGGGGCCATTAGCCAATGATATGTTTTGATTCAGTGAGTGACAATGGACGGAGCTCTCCAGCGGCCAATCGTCTTTCAGCTGGGGCCAATGCCCCTGTGGCCCCGCCCCTGCATATGCTCCTGCCCCGTGTGTGTGGAGTTCACATGTTCTCCCCCTTTGCCCGCTCCGCGGCCCGATCACCCAAAACCGCGGCGCTGCCTCTCGGTTTTCTGCTTTCCTCCCTTAGACCAAAAACATACAATTATGTGAATTGATGTCTATAAATTGGCCATGGAGTGTGAGTGACTGGCATCCTGTGGAGTCCCCTGACCAGTGCATTGTGGGATACGCTTCAGACACACTGTGACCTTGCACTGGGTGAGCGGTTTTAGAAAATTGTAGAAGAAACCTCTAGAATAAAAACAGTCTACTGATCCTGTCAAGAATTGTTTACACACCAAGCATTGACTAGACTCAGCTGAATTTGCATGGTAGTGTTTTGGTTATTATGCTTATAACAGTGGACCCCCCCTATTGAACGGTACCAAGAACAGCAAGCGTACCCTGGGAAAGGTTACCCACTACATGAGGCAGGTCTGGGCTTGGCGTCTTTAAATCGGTGAGTGCCTGGTGGCTAGGCTATCGCACAACAAAGCCGGGCTATCGCACAACCAAGCCGGGCTCAACCCAAATTGAGGAGCCATCTTTGCAAGCTACCCCAGTGCTTTTGATGTAGCACATTTTTAGGTTTATAATAGAATAATATAGATTTGCCATAAGATTTCTTGATTGAGCATGACAGTTAGAAATTCAAATTCAAATTAAATCACTTTATTCACCCCCAAGGGGCAATTAAAAAGGCACATGGATTACAACCACCATTCACACACACAAATAATCACAGAATAGAAGGACATACGCACATAAAAGGCATTAATGCAAACTCACCCTGAAGGCAGCCCAGTCGTCCACTCCGTTCCTCCACAGGTAGAGGTGCGGCAGTCCCGCTGGGCCGGGAAGCCCCGGCTGGCCCCTGCGACCCTCGTGCCCCTCCGGGCCCCGGTCCCCCTGTAAATGAGAGGGTTGGAGGAATGTCACTCTCACAGACAGGTTTCCGGCACCTGCGCTGGTAGGTCATCGCCGGTGGTGACAGCATCTGTAGACCCTACAGGAAGCCACCTGCACGGATGGATACAAGGGGATCTGCCCCCCCCATGCTTTGAGGAACGCTCATGGATGCCTCATATCCTCTCCCTGTCATCTCTCCGCATCAAAGTCTGCGGTTGGCTGAGCGCCTGCAGGCCGGTGTGTGAATATCTCTCTCTTACAGGTGTGTGAATATCTCTCTCTTACAGGTGTGTGAAGGCGCCGGATGAAGCCCAAGGCCTATCGGGCGACACGCCACAGCTGGCTCGCAGCACAAACATGACGCAACCAATTAGCTGCACTGAGAATGGGTTCAAAATGTAAACGAGCACTGCGGTAATGAGACTGTGTATTTCTGCTTCAACTGTCTATAGCACCTGAATTTAATGTCCAGCAATGTTCTTGAGAATAAAAACAGAGGCAAGTCAACAGAGGGTATTGAAGACCAGCCCAAATCCAGAAAAATGCAAATCACAGGCAATTACGTCCTCATTTGTACGACCCTGCACAACTGATGATCGAATCAGAATAAAACGTGCCTCACCTTGTCACCTTTGAATCCCAGAAATCCTCTTTCTCCAGGACAGCCCTGGGGAGGAGAAGGAAAACAAGCCAGGGGTGGGATCACACGATGGGGTCAAGTGGCGAGGGGGGGGGGGGGGGGGGGGGGGGGGGGGGGGGGGGGGGGGGGGGGGGGGGGGGGGGGAAAGGCCAGCGGAAGCCTGCGTCTAACGGACAGCTAATGAATTTCGATCTGATTAAGTGCCAAGCTTCTTAAATCACCTGCAGACTGAACAAAGGCTGGCTTGTGCGTGTGGACATGTGCTTAACTATTCCTGGAGGCGTGAAAGGATTTCTTTTTGCCTTGTTTAAGCAGCGATAAATTTATTAAAGGTTAAAGGATGAAATCGCAAGCTGTTTAATTCACTTTGGATGATTACATCCATTAATTGAACACACTAAAAGCACCATAGATGCAAAGTAAACAAACTACTAAATTATGGGAAAAAAACCCAGAAAGGTTTATTTAGTACTTGCAGGACTGGTCTAACCCTGTTCAGCAAAATTCCATTAAGCTAGTTGTCGTTTGTCATCTTCCTTCCCACTCTGACAGGGGAGCCCCCTGGTGGCCACTGAGCCCTAAACAGTTGCTTGATTCACTTGTGCCTTGGGCCAGTCCTGAGTACTTGGGTGGCAGTATCGGCTTGATGGCCTGTCCCAGGTTCAGCAGCCAAGGGTGTGTAGCACCTGGTTCCATGTAAAAAGCAGCCACAGCAAAGCAGGAAGCGGAAGCGGCAGGAGAGTGTCTCCCACGAACATCACATTAGCTAACTGCTAAAGGTTTAGCAACTTCTCCAGCTCTGAACACAAGGAATGACTGGGCGACCCAAATCATTCAGCGCCGCTTTCGTCTGCCTGGGACCTTATAAATCTTCCGGGACTCCAAACCTCCTAAGCCTTTAATTTAGCAAGCAGCATAAATCGTTTTATGCGGCCTGGTCAGATGAAACTGTGGTGCTTGCAACGGAATGGCAAACCCGGAATCCTCTTGACCATAATTCCACCGCCGATGAAATAAATCACGCTCCGACCCAAAAGCGGGCAGCGCAGATTGAATGCACTTGTGTTTCCACATAAAAACTGAGCCAACGACTCATGCAGCATGTCTGTAATATTGAAATATCCAGAACAAAAATATCTTTTATATATCAAAAAATGAACTCATGAGTTGAACAAAGAGAGTTCAGTTCCACTCCTAATACTGAAGTCATGCTCAGAGACACAGTCACACTGAGAAGAGGCAATGTAGCCCGCTTCTGACAACAGCCTGACTGAAATAGGCCTCAATAGAGCCTTGGATCAATATTATGAAAAGGCAGTTTTATCATAAATTAAAACTTTTGTTTAAAAATTTTTTACAGTAATTTCTCACACAGCAGGTGAGAATGATTACAGTTCACTATAGTGTTACCTCCAAACCTACTAACTGGAGAGGCAAGCCTATTAAATTTGACTGTAGCTCTTAAATTCAGTAACAACATTTGTAAATATGCTGTTATTCAGCTTTACCATCATCTTTTTTGTGAGAACTTGTGTGACCTGTTATAGCCAGAAATCCTTTAAGAATTACATTCTGGGGAAACAGGTAATTAACAGGATGATTAGCACCGAATCATTCTCACCTCCTGTGTTGATTTTGCAGCACTGGCATAAAAGTATGTTGGTTGGTTTTTCTTTTACCGTTCGATGATGGTAAAAGGAATACAAGCAAAACACTGATTTTTTTTCTTTTTTGTTTTTAGTTGCATGGTCTGCCAGCTTTAAATCACTGCAGATATGCGTGGGTCTTAGCGGGCAGGCTGCAGGCCGACTCGTGTTTGCAGTGAAAACAGTCGCTCCTGGCTGCACTGGTGTTAGTGTTTCCTCTTGCACCAGTATGGGCCGCTGACAGGCCCGGCATTAAATCATGGCAAAATATTCACCCGCTGAGAGAAATTAAATTCCTCAAATACCCCGTCCATCAAGAAACTTGAGGTGGTAGAAAGGAGTGTGTGTGTGTGTGTGTGTGTATGTGTGTGGGGGGGGGGGGGTGTATGCTCCGCTTTTCCTCCCTTACAGCCAGTGGCCTATATACCTATTATACTTCAAACACGGCAGGATTAATCACTTCAAGGGTACGGTGAGGCGGGATCTATTTTTAGGGAAACAGACGGCCTTTGGTCCAGCTTCTGGCCTGGGAGCTCCCAGACTGCGAGGAGGGGATTGAATCTCTGCTGAACTTCTGAAGCAATGAGCCTGAGTGAAACTTCAACGCTCCCAGTGAATACCTCTCTACATTTGCAACCTGAAGGTTGTTGGTTTCAGTCCCAACATGAGCTCTGCTGCAGTACTGTTACTAAAGGTACTCAACCCCAATTACCCCAGGGAAATTCCCCATGGTATCTGCTAGGCAACTAAACATTAATATCAGAGGTAGAGAATTCATGTCCAGAAAGTATAAATCCAGACCAAGATTTTGTTCCAACCAACCAGTTCAGTAATCCGTGACTGTTATTATTTATTCAACTGGTTGGTTGTAACAAAATCTTGGTCTGTACTTGTACTTTCTGAAGCTAAACTTTCCACCCTGATTAATATGCAGCATCAGCTACACGAAATAGATTTGTAGTCACATCTTTGTGAACTGCATGACTATAAACCTTCAGTCTTTGAAGAGATCCTGTTAAAATGACATAATGCTCTCTGCCAAAGCCAGTGGTATGTTATACTCATGCTTTGGGCTTTCAAAGGCATATAAAGCCAACCAACCAAGAGTGAGTGTGAAAGTATTTTGAGTTGCCCAGTCTTGTATCCAAGCGCACACAAGAAGTGAAATCAGCAGTCAATGGCTAAAGATTAAATCTATCTACCTGAAGAAAGTGTGAATAAGTCATTATTATGTGTCCATGGTACAGCATGCACCGTGTACTGGGAACAGAGAAGGGGATACTCACTCGCCTTCCCTGGGGTCCGGCCGGCCCCGGAGGTCCCCTAAGGTACCGGAACGTCCTTCCATCAGGGCCCTGGACCAAACCTCTGTCACTGGTAGGGGCCGTTCCTGTACCTGGTGTTCTGCTGTCTGTTCTGGTTCGTTCCACCTGACCATGCTGAATGGACTTGCTAGGGATTCTGGGTCCCAGCTCTGTAACCGTGGTTATTGGGGCAGAACCAGGCTTTGCGGTAGGTGAAACCGGTGTTGAAAGCAGAAGATCCACTCCTTCCAGTGGGTCAGAATCATGGTGCCTATGGAAATGGGGACTCTCCTTGCCCCCAGAGACACCCCCTAAGGGTTTCTTTGAGGGGCGGGAGGAGGGAGCGTCAAGGTCGATGATGTCATCTGAGGGCTTTCCTGGAAACGTGTCTTGGGTCCTCCCCCCTCCGCCCCCCTCGCCTTGATGAGGCTCCCCCATCAGCTCCCTTCATCACCTCCCCCCTCCGCCCCCCTTTCTCTTGTCTGTGGTGACGTTCTCATCTAAGTCTTTGGATGCAGGGTCGGGCTTCGAACCCACACCCTGCGTGTGCTTCTGAGTGTGAGTGGCACCAGGCCTGTGCTGAAGGCTGGGATCAGCCAGGTCAGTGTCCTCTTCCACCAGGAACACATCCCCATGTCCCACAGAACCAGGCCGGCCGGGACCCAGGTGAGTCAGGCCGTCTCCACGCGGACTCCCACCTTGGTGAAATACAGAGTCCTGCTCAGACAGAGGAAGGAGAGAACGAAGGCCATAGAGTCAGTGCTCACCAGAGACCAACCACATGCTCAGACAAGATTTCGCTACAGACATTTTTATGTATCCTTGCTAACTGAATTCTGGGATTAAACATTAGCAACATGAAGTGTGATCAAGTTAATGCTCTATAAATAAACAACATAAAACCTATTTCTGTCTAAACCTGGCATGTCTTCAGGTCCATGGAGCCCCATGACCATTACACTGGTTGTGCTAGAAACTTTTCTATTTCTGTAGTCCTCCAAAAGTTAAACTTTAATGAATTCACCCCAAGACAAATAATATGGAAGGATACATCATTAGTTTAAGGATTTTTCTAGGGAAACAACCTTTAAACAGCTGAAAACCTGCTAGCTACCCACCTGGCCCTACATTATTAACTTGTTACTAAATAGAAGCTAATAGATGCCTGATCATAATCGATAATTTAACTTAATTTCAGTACCATGCAAAATCCCTAATGTATATAAAAACAGCAACAATAAAGTGTGTAAATTGCGATTCATTCACACATGAGCAGTTGCTAAGTAACAAAGCATGGTGCCAGAATAATGATGGGTATAACGTGTAATAGCAGGGAGCAGTAAAATGCGAGGTGAGGCATGTGGAAACTGGCCTTTATGTGAGGAAAGGGTGAAAACGGGCTATTTAGCTAATACGTCTAACCCAAGGCGATGGTAGCGGGCCTTGCTGGATTGATGGATAGAAATGAAGCACCCGAGGGGGACAGATCTAAGTCTAGCTCTTGGCTTTTATTGAGTAAAAACTAAAAACAACACATAACTACCTTCAGGTGATGGCGGTGAGGGGGTGGGGGCTGTTGGGGGCACAGGTGGGAACATACTCCACAGCCATAAAGGAATAGCCTTTAGTGTCATTGTATTTGTTTTCAGGGTCATAACACCTGATTGAACGGACCCCTCCACGTCCTTCTGGTTGGGAATTTTCCAATTTGGATACACTTGTGTAATTACCCATAAAGACCCATATGCACAGCAGGAGCATGCTGCACTTCACAAGTTGTCCACTGGGTGGTGGAGTGCAGCACTAGGTCAATGGCATCCTGCATGACCCACAATGTATGGTCAACCTCAACCAGTCTGGGCTGGGAATGCTGCAGCGAAAGTGCTTTCCGAGACATGTTTACATCTTTGCGTTTTTTTTTATGGGGCTGGGGAGGTTAAAAAAATGACCACTGTTTGACAGCACTGCACGAGAGTCATGGCGCGTTACCCAGCTCACACTCCACTTTGCCGTTATTGTTGGTAGCAACCGACATCGTCTCTCATATGGCTGGTAACGTTTATGCTGTTTTTTAACTGACATCAAGAGGCACAGTGACTTCATCCATTTGGTATGAAAATCACATGTTTCATGAGGTGTCAAACCGCGTCTCTCAGGTCACCGCTACGCAATCTGTCTGAGCGGTGACAGGTGCTGGCAGTGGGGGGACGCAGCAGGAGGTTTTTGGTCAGGCGCTGCAGAAGTTGTGATGGGGGTGGTGCCTCCATAGACCATAACCCCGCCTTTTCTGTTCCCATGGGTACCACATGACACCTGGCTGAAGATGGTGGGCCAGGGACCAGCCAAAAAAAAAAACAAATTAATGATTGGTCATCATTATCATTGTAGGGGGATAGACATCCTAACAGGGTTATTGTCATGATCCTTTTAGGCCTAGAAAAACCTCCAGAAGCCAGTCATCACGATCATTGTAGGTGTAGAAAATCATTACAGGTTGGTCATCGGGCTCATTGTAGATGCAGAAGTAGGTTTTACGTAAAGGAGACACCAAGGGGAAAAAGAGGCCAAGGGATCAAAAACAAAGGAAGGAAAGCATTCCTCCAACCAGTGAGATGGAAAGGTAACTAAGGTCATTTTCAGAAATTTTGGGCCTGTACCTTGGTGCAGATCAAAGGCAAAGAACAGGCCAACCAGGACTTGATGAGACCTGGACCTGATTGAATGATGCTGTAAGGCTTGGGCTGAGAAATGCCAGTAAGGTGAGTTAACCCGTTCAGGCAGGAGGAACACAGGTGTGTGGGAGACCCCTTTTTCAGCCGTCTGTCACAATAATCCTGACAGATTGCCCCTGGAGGTGGAGCTGGTTTCAGATTAGCATCAAGGAAAGAGTGGAAACACCCATGAGTCAGTGAGGAACATCAACCCAATCAGAAAGCATTGGAGTACGCTGTCACAGCCCGAAAGCCCCAGGAGACAGACTCCAGGGGGTGGGGCTCCTGTCCACATAGAGCTTACTTCTTGTGGTAGCGATGCCTGTAAGATATGGGCTATGATCCAGGCAGGGATGCATGTGATGTTGTCCGGCACAACACTGCCACGATGTCTCCAGCGGCAAGGTTTACAGCTTGGCCCACAGAACAAAAGGATGACGTGATAGAGGAAATAGTCAGAAAGAAGAAGGTTGGGAAGAGGGAGTGGGCAGGATGGAAAGGGCAGGTCCAGAGCTGGAAGGGGGAGGGGGCAAAATGGGAGACAGCTGGGCGTGGAAAGGTATAGTTCCAAGGTGATGCTAACACAAAGCAGATGGTCGGTTCTGATTAGTAGCTAGAGGATCCAGGCCTATGTGACTTAACAGAGGAGACAGGGAGTGAACTTGCTGGTTTGAGTTCCATCTTCCGTGGAATAGTCACATCTCTGTTGGGCCCTTGACAGGACAATTTGCTAGGATCTTAAGACATCCAGGGCTCAGTCCCAGTTCTCAAACCGAGAGCATGGTTGCTAAAACATCCCAACCAAATTAATCATTCGGGGCTCATTTGGATTCATTCAGAGCTTTAGCCTCATGACTCATCCTCCTCTGGCTCTTCAGCAAGACACTTAACCCCCCAAAATGCTCTAGAGCACCACATAAATGGCTGACCCTGTGCTTAGACCCCAGGCTTCACTCTGACTTGCCTATGCGTGTGTGTGTGTCTCAAAGGAGAGCATGATGGGATACGCAAAAGGAAGCATTCCAGTTGAAGATGAACTGATGCTTTATTTGCATTTACAGTAGGTCAACATCAGAAAGATAAGAATCTGTACTGCTCTGTAAAACTGTCTATCCAGGAAATCTCCACACTGTGTACCTCAAGCAGGATGCTCTAATCATCAATCACAGGGCAACATCTGCATTAACATTTCGTGATGAGTAACCGGGGTTTCCCAAGACATCCATCAATCGTTCAAGTTCTCGACTGTGCTGTGGTTCTGTATGGCTTCCAAAATCAACAGACTTAAGGGCTAGATGCCGATGATACCGATGAAGTCACTTCACTCCTGGATCACGTGTCCCTTGTTGTCAAAACTTCTTCTGTCACTCATGTTAAGGATTCCATGACCTGAAACTTTTAGCTGGCAGACCAATGCATTAGCAGTTATGCTACATGCAGCAGAAATACAGTCAAGCACGACCCAAAACACTGGACTCAAGTTCTGCAAGAGCAATGGACCTCATTCCCAAGCTACCAAGCCCTGCTTATGCGACTGGACCGTATCCCACTCGCCCGTGTCCATGTTTGTTTGCAGATGACATTCAAAAGGTACTTGGCAAAAGGAAAACAGCACATTACCTCAACGGTAAACGGCGTAGCGTGCTGTGCCGCTAATTAGCACCTGCCGCTGTTACGGAACGCTGCAAAACAAAAAGGGTTCGCAGATGTCTTACGCCAAGCTTGTGCACAAATGTTTTGGGAGTCGTTGCTGAGACTGGCAAAGTGGAAACGGCACACAGATTGTGCACACTTTCTTACGCTCTACTGCAACACTCTCAAAACAACAAACAGGTAACACCCGGTGGCCGGGCTCTTAGTCTGAGCATGACCTGCAAGTAAACCCAAGCAGGAATTACAGTACGACAAGCATCATGCTGTTTCACAGTTCAAAGCCACAGCTCTAAGTTCCTGTCCGTGCTGAAATGTCGAAAAAGAGTCACAATGTCTAGCAACCATTTTCACAGCAGATTTTTCCCGTTCACTTCCGCTACAAACTGTAAAAGAAAAACCGTAGAAAGGGCTACAAACTCACTTCAAAGCAGACCCCACCAGTCACCCATATTAACACTGACAGTTTTAAGCTGCCAAAAATCAGTGTTTTGCCTTAATCTGGACCAGCACAAATTCCAGTCTGACTTGCTGACCGAAGTTGACAGATCCGTCACTGAAATTCATACAAGGAAATTCACAGAAAAACATTGGCAGGAATTTTTGCGAGTGAAAAAAATGCAATTAGAGAATGCTAATGATCAGAACATAGGGCAAGAGGAACCCAGGATGTCCTTACCTTCGGCTCCTCTAGGTAAAATCCTGGCAGTGCCAGCAGCAGAGGGCAGAGGAACAAGGCGGCACAGCACATGGCTGCAGGAGACCCGGAGCGTGATGTTCCCCTGGACTACCTGCATCCAGAGTGCTCTCTCCGCCCTCCTTCACAACGCACCCAGAAATCCTCCCCATCACTGGCAGGGGCACACCCCCTCAATCTTGTGATCCACCCGCCTCCTCCTGATTTTTTAAAGGGTAGGAGGGGCTCCTAGCACCTCCCACGGAGGATGTGAAGGTGGATGCATTTATGTGATCCAAAGAGCACAGTTTTGTGTTTGTGTGTGTCACGTACCTGTAGCCAATCAAACGGTCAGCATTTGTGAGGCATAATCACATGACCATGATTTCTAAAACACCCCATATCACTGCAGATACTCAAGCACAAGCCTTCCACATGTACACAGATCAGGGATGCCTCTGTGCGTGTGGGGAAGGCCTAGTGTTCAACTTTACAAGGGCCAAGTCTGTATTAAGGGTTAAAACAATCCTGGGGGGTTTCTTTATTAGTGAAATAAAAACAAGCACTATACAATAGGTCCGGTCATGGGTGGCCAGGGACAAAAAAGGAGTAGAGAAGAGGATTAAACGCTCAGGGCTGTGGAACATTCTCAGGAAGGAGAACAACACAACTACTAATTAGAAGCTTTAAGTGAACTGGAAGAAGGTTTTGGGGGGATTGGCTGATGTGTGCACCAATAAGGAGAGACTGCCTGATGCTGAGAGCTGGGGACACACTACAAGACATCTCATAGGACGACACCTCCACCCCAGGCTTACTGAACCAGCTGACTGGGAATGGGACCTGCTCCCCCCAGACAGAGAAAAGGCTCGACCCAAAGAGCCTTAGGAGAACTCGAGCCTCCCTTAACCTTACTAATGGCTTCCATTGCAGGGGATAAAAGATACAGAGTTGCTTCCCATATTTAAAAAATTATGCTGATAGATTTGAGGATCACGTGAGAGTTGGTTTACTAGCCCGAACCTCCCAGCCCTCAATGTCACAGAGCACTTACTATATACTGATTTATTTGTATGTGTATGATTGATCTGATAGTATCCAAAATTACAGCTGTTTGGAGGAGAGTATAATTAAAGGCAGGAGGGATGTGAGGCCCGGGGCGTTGGGGATAGGCACCGACCGGCAGGGCATGGGGGCTGGCGCAATCCAGGGATGACTACTGGGTAGGAAACTCCCCCAGGACCACGACCACGCAGACTCTGAGGCACTCTGGGGAGACACGGTGGACGGGTGGGTGTGTGAGCTGTATCCATGGCGACTCAGGTTGTGGTTTAGCAGGATTTAATGGTGACAACACCATTGATGGTCAACGTTAAATGAACTATTTTTTCAGACTTCACTGTGAATCAAACAAAACCTGCACGGGAAGTGTGTGTACGTTTGGGTCTTAAAGGGCAAGAGTGAAGGATTTACACCCTGGAACCCGTCATAACTGATCAGCTGCTCTCACTCTGGCCCCTTGACTTGGTGGGGGGGGGGGGGGGGGGTGCACATGGGTGCTGCCTTAACTTGCTTCCCAAGTTCTACAGTGTATGGGCTGGCATCAGCACCATCCGTCATCTCCACCCCACCTTAGAGCTCCTGCCCCCAGCCCATTATATCCCATTCCGATTTTTATGAGGTTCTTCTCTGCTGGTGAGATCTCCATACAGTAGCTTCACCTGTGTCTATACGTGTGTGTGTGTGCGAGCGGGTTTACCTATCCTTATGGGGACATAATGTTCCCATAACGTTGTTAATTTTTTTTTTTTTTTCCCTTATGGGGACCGGTTTCCTGGTCCCCATAAGGGAAAACTCTGTTTTATAAAAATTGGTGACTGCTATGAAAAAACTAAAAATGCAAAAACTCTTGTATTTTGTTAGGTTACTTATGGTTATGGTTAGGGCAGGGTAGGGGTTAAGGTTGTCATAGTTAGCGTTAGCATTTTTCCCATTGAAATGAATGAGCGGTCCCCATAAGGATATGTATACCCTACATGTGCGCGTGTGTGTGTGTGTGTACAGTATGTGTGCGTACTGTATATATGACTCAGCAGACAGTGGTCACTGGATTCACTTTGTCTTGTTCAGGACTCCAGTCCTCCCCATCCTCTATTCTAACTGCAAGGCCGAGTCAATACAGACCAAGGAGATAAGGGTTTGCAATCTGCCTTGTTATGCACCTAACCAGAGGCTGCACTTTACCATTAACTATTCATTGTGTGTGCTGGAGGCCTTTCAAAACCCTTTAACCTCGTTCACATCTGCATCCCAATGCTCTTCCAGCAAAATCAGGCAAAGCCAGGCAATCCCGGATCAAGATAAAAGCCTGCAGTCCACGTGCAGCATGTTGTGAGTTAAAGGATAGCGGCTGCGCAGCCCTGCACTCTGTCTTTCTGTGCAAATCAGGCAGACATGTAATGTAGCATCAATCTTGGTCTTGGTCATATTTCACTACAGTCTGTGATCACACTGACAACCCCATTGATCTTAACTACAGCTCAGCCTATAGCGGGTTTTTCCCCCCAAGTAGATCGCAGCATCACTCAAAATGCACTCGCAGCAAATGCAGTGAACTGCGCAGGTTCACTTTCCATGTGGGCTCCGCCTCTCAGTCCCCAAAGCTGACTGGGACACTCCCCGGCACACTCCTACAGAAGGGCTGGGGGTCAGCAACAGGCCCTCGGGGGGCAGGAATAACGTTTAGGAAAGTGAGCAACAAGGTTGGTCAGGGTTTGTTTCCCAGGGGCAGCTTCTTACAAGTCTCAGCACTTTCTAGCAATAAATCAACCACTACCCCCCCCCCCCCACCCCACTCACATGCATCCAGGACTATAATAAAGCTAGTAGATACAAAAATGTAACAAAAACTTACACAACTACAGTAGCTATTAACTCCCCAGGTTATCTTGGCTAATTCAATGAAATTTTTATTTGTATTGTACATTTTTAAACATTACATTGTCTCAAAGCGCTTTGCATTATCCCTGCCCAAAGCCCCAGAGAGCAAGCCAGAGGAGATGGTGGCAAGAAAAAACACCCTAGTAGGAAGAAATCTTGGGAGGAACCAGACTCAAAAGGGGAGTCCATCCTCCAGGGGCCAGCAGAGGAAGTCAAACTAGCAAAGTCCTGATTTATACACTCCGTTGTGTTAGTCCAAAGTGACTATCATGAACGAAGATGCAACAGCTAGGATCCTCCGGAGATTAGAGCCAGTCATCCTTCAGTATGAATACATACAAGCCCTAAAACTTCTCTGGTGATTGTCTTTTTATGATCTGTCCCTCAAACGTCAACAAAAACACCAGCCTGGGGACCACAGAGTGCTCCAGCAGGGATTGGGGACCCAACCCAAAGGAGACTACGGTGACGGAAGATACTGAGGCCCAAGTGGACATTTAACAATGACAGCCCAATGGGTCCCTCCTTCCCGTCAACATCAGACACTCCGGCAAACAACCTGCATCGCCGCCACCACACAGAGAAGAGAGTCACGTCTTGGCTGAGGTTTACATCTTTAACATCTTTTACTCCCTCTTTGCTACTTTCGAGCCTCATCAATCCCAGCCTTGCGTGCTCCTACAGTCAATGCTTTTACCTACATACTCACTGCTAAGCACTGTTTGAAGGCAGTACAAAGAATGGAACAAAGCAATGGAAACAAGTCATGTCATTGACAAAAACAAGCCCCGTGTGAAAACACAAGCAGCCAAACCTGCAATTAGCATCTGAGGGGATTTATAATTTCCAGGGTCACCATATGGTTCTGTAAAAGCTATAGCTAATTATACCATGTAACCCTGAGTCACCGTTTAACTGAGGGACTAATAAAATTGATGATGAGGTCCACACGTAGAGGTAGTGATCTCTGGCCGATTCCCAGCAGTGCTGTGATTCAACGCTTCCTGGAGCCAGATGTGACCCCCCTCATTTGGCCGACTGGATGCAAGCTATTCCAAAACCCAGGTGGTTCATTAACTGCCATTTTCCCCGCTTCGATGGAAAGGCAGACCGAGGAAGTGCTGCATGGGCACTGGAAGGACTGGGAATGTGTAGAGAGATGCGCAATGTGAGGGCCAGGACCAGTCTGGCCCCTTTACGGGGGTAATGTGCCTGTAAATGGCAGCTGTGTTGTTACATGCAGGCACCTTGACACCTCCGGTAATGAAATTAAAATGCGGGCGGCATCTCCTCCGTACCTACTGGTCAAAGCCTTCATGGTTCGGCGGGATGGTGTTTGTAGCTACCTTCAAGCCGTTACGCAATTTGCATGATCGGGAATCGGGGGGCGGGGGGGGGGTTTGGAATCCAGAGTGTTCGATTAGCAGTGAACCCAAAAGTGGGTTAAGATCCATTAGGATCAGGGACCACCCTTCTACAGGGAATAGGGACAATGGCAAGAGTACCTTCATAAAATTCCTTAATGATAAAATATGAAAGAATAACAGCCTCGGCTATGGAAAAAATACCTGATTTATAAGTGATTGGGGTAAAATGATGACAGACTATGGAAAAGCCCACTTCCACCACTCCACTGTAACATGTAAGCAGTCCAGCAGCTGACTTGGTTTTAATATAAGCAGGTGCCAGAGGGCATCCCCTAAGTCTTATGAAAATGCTGCAGCAGCTCTACATGTTTCTTCATTTGAAAAGAATTGGCTTTCTTCAGGTTACAGATAAAAATCCTGGTTAAAAATAAACTGTGTAAGAGATGCCAGGCTTGGAGGGGGCTGCAGATCCAGGGTCACATGGAGTTTAGATTATAGCCTAAGAGACGGTCACAAACATCACTCTTTCTCTGATGTTCTGTGGAGGAACCAGAGGGGGGCGTTTCAACCTGTGATGTGATCAGTGAGAAGTAAAGGCTTGGGATTTTTGATGTCCCCCACCCCCCCGGAAGCGACAGGACTACAAACAGAACTGCTAGCTTTAGAGGAGTTCAGATTCCCAAAAGCTCAAGTAAACCCCAGTAAAAAGTCCCTGAGCTAATAGTTTGCTTCATGTAAAATACAACGATACGGAAGCCTTATAAAGTCAGAAGTGGAAAGTTCAGGTCCATAAAGTACAAATCCAGGCCAAGATTTTGTTTCAACCAACCAGTTGAGTACTCTGTGACTGTGACTCTTCATACTCAACTGGTTGGTTAAAACAATATCTTGGTCTGGATTTACTGTATACTTTCTAAACCTGAACTTTCCACCTCTAACCAAGGTACAACCCAAATAACCCTCAAGAGCCTTGAATGGTAGCCTTAGAGACTATGACCATGAAGTGTTACACTAGCTGACCCCCCCTCCCCCAGATGTGCAGAACCCCTGCTAAGAAGGAATAACCACGGCAGAACATCTGCACTCACCATCAGACGAGCTTTCTCATCTGGGACAAGCTCTGGGTTTTTCAGCAAGTGCTCCAGGTCGTTTGAGGAGAGCATCAGATCCTGGGGAGGATACAGCAGCGACAAGGCGGCGTGAAATGCCCGGCGGTACGTGGATGCTTTCATTCCTGGGGCGGGCGGAAGGCTGCAGGTGAACGTACCCGAGCGCTGTGAGACGTTTTCGGAGAGCGTGGCGGTTTGTGGGTGGTGGGCCTGCAGGAGAGCAGACGTAGAGCGCAGTGGCCCGCCGCAGCGTCCGGGTCACCCATCAGGAACATCATCTGCTTCAGGTCGCCCTATGTTGGGGGGTGGGGATGGGGGCGTTCAGGCTGTGAGGCTTTGCTGAAAGTCTCAGGATGGGGAATCAGATGACCACCATTCATTAACTCACCATAATTTCCAATGTTGAGTTTTGTGACCCCCCTCCCCCCAAAACCTGAGAGAAGCCTCAGCTCTCATAAGGGATACCGCCGCCCCCATGAGCTATGCCTCTGCAAATGAATTTTGCATGGATGACAGGAAACACATGCCATCTGTGTTAGACAGTCGTGACGACATGCGGCCAAAGCTCCATATTTATCTGGAAGTGAAACATAGCGGCGGCTTTCTGGTCAACCAATATAAAGCTGCTACTTGACCTTCTGCTTCGCAACTCATATTGAGAAGCTTCTGTAAAGTTAGCGGGTTAATGTCCTCATTCCATCACCCCTAAACAGGACACTGTTGTCCCACACTCTGCTTTGACTTTTGGTCCAACTTTCATCCAAAAACATAGACCGTCTCGTCATGATATTGCAATCATAGGGTCATTGGATGACATATCATGGAGTTTCAGTCTATAGAAACCTGTGTGTGTTATGCATAGGGGTGGGATGGCTTGGGGGGGGGAGGAGGAGTTCACCTCGAACGGCGTCTCAAAGCCCTCGACGATGCCCCCCACCATCAACAGCCCATCGGTGCCAATGTCCAGGCTGCGGTAGGTCCAGTTGACGCTCTCCACCAGTGTGCAGTCCACGTACAGGGCCAGCTGCTGTGTGGACACACTCACCGCCACCCGGTGCCACTGGCCGTCAGACAGCACCCCCACCGGAAACCTGGGAGGGGCACATCAAAACGGTGTAAGGACGTGTGTTTCTATACCAGGGGTCTCCAACTCCAGTCCTGGAGAACCTCAGCCCTGCATGTTTTTGGGTTTCCTCTCATTTAACATACTTCTACTTCTCAGTTGAATCAGGTGTGGTGGAACAGGGAGAGAACTAAGCTGTGCAGCGCTGGGGAATCTACTGGACTGGAGCTGGAGACCCCAGTTATACACACTTAGGTATGGATGGCCTGGGAGTCCAGCCTGGAATAATATGAATAATGTTGGAAATATGTGCAAATAAACAGTATTTAAATAGCAAATCGTACTAAAATACATGCTAGGAATAATATGCATTAAAGTGCAAGCATATTAAAACAAGTTCCAGCAGAGCGTGGTTTTAGTGCTGTCCATGGGAGGCGGGGCTACAGGGAGGTGGGGTCGGGTGGGCGTGGCTTTGGGAGGCGGGACTACAGGGAGGTGTGGCCATTGGGAGGCTGGGCTGCTCACTCATAATGCTGCTGCTGCATGGTGACAAAGGTGAAGGCGTGAGGGCCGAGGCGCAGCTGCAGCAGCACGTGGCCCTGGGGGCTCAGCAAGGTCAGCAAGCTGCGGTCCTCTGCCTGGGGGCTGCGCAGCTGCAGCAGCAGGCTGAACTCATCCGCAAACCTGCGCAGGTGCAAGCGGAAGGTCGTGACCAGTCGTGAGAAAGCACACAGACGACCAACCAGACCATCATGCTGACACGGGCACATGGACCAGTGAGGGTCCAGTGAGGTGTGTACCTGTCTCCAAAGACCTGGCGCAGGGGCAGGTGGAGGGTGGCGTACTGGCCAACTTGCAGAGTGAAGCATCCAGCACCTTCCTTGGAAATGGACACATTTCGGCCGTCCTCCACCAGTCCCACCAGGTGATCTAGCAGGTCCACCGCCTCTGCAAAGGTGGGAAAGATGGAATCAGGAAACACAGGCTGCCACTTCCTGTCCCACCGACAAAGCTTAGTCTCCGGACTATGAGCGCAGAAGGATATCAGCCAGTGCCAGTGAAATGGTTCTGAAAACAACTTAAAAAGCGAAAGACGCAATGCTAAGCAGGTCTCAGGACTGGGACACTCCCCGCCTTTCGGCTGGTATCTGCCTGTGCTTGTGTTCAAACCGCTAAGCATGTAATCCTCAGTCACCTCTCTAAATCACAAAATGGACAGGAACTTAAAACTTGCAATTCCTCGTCTAAAATCAGATCGCGACTTCATAGATCTCTGTTACAAGGGGGGGGGAAATAAGTAAAACTTTCTGTCTTAAAGGGCATTTTCCAGACAATGGTTTCATGTAACGTAGTATTTGCCGAGAAAGCGAAGGAGGATAAGAAGTTGTTCCTTGGCCATCTGGCACAACTGGAAAGGGAAAAGTGGAGTGAAAGGGACAGAGTAACGACAGTCAGGTTTCACCGATGAGCGCAGGCAGAGTGCGGCGATACGCACACAGAAGAACAACCTAACAGCGTGCACTTTGGGATGAACCTTTGCCAATTTACCAGTCCCATAAGCAGATCCAGGTGGATCCAAATGCTCGGTGGGGTCCTCGGCGCCTGATCAGGTGGCATGATGAGGTCAGACTCACTGCACGCTTGTAAAGAGGCCGGCCCCCCATGTGCCCGTGTGGGTCTGGAGCCCGGCCAGGCCGTCGCTCGGCACATTCCGTTAGAGGCAGTGGGTTGATGGTTTACACCCCCTGCTTTTAACACCCCAGGGACTCTTGTTTTGCTTCACATTCCCTTCCTGCAGCTGATGGCACAGGAAGAGGTTATTTCAATCGGGCGAACAGCAAGACCGCCTGGATGCTCAGGGACAAAGGACCAAATCAGAGTGCGAGGGGGCAGGCGTGAAGAGTGCTAGACAGCAAAGCGTGGAGAAGTGAGGACTCAGGGCCACCACTGGGGGGGGGGGGTAATGGTCTTCGCTGGAGGGGGCCTGACGGCCACCCGCTCCATTCAGCAGAATGTACCGAGAGGGCCCAAGATGATTTCATGGGTCCCAGAATTCCTTGCTGCGCCCCTGCACATGACATTCCAGTGATCTACGAGAAAAGGCACCACCCCAGGAGAAAGCCCCGCTTTTAATGGCTTTGGCGTGAGCCGCGGGCCAGCTGTGCGGTGAAGCCCCGCTAGCACGGCCACGCTGGGAGTGTGCAAGTTGGGGTTCGCCTCTAGTTCGGTCCAAAGCGGTGACCACCGATCCCAAAAACAGGCCAGGGAGATCTCCTGGAACACTTGCAGTGTGACTGAGCCAAAGGACCCCCCCCCCTCACCCCCCCAACCCTGCTGGTGAGGTACTCGCTAATTCACTCCCCATGCCTCTGGCATTTCAGCTCTCAAAAGCCCTTAAAATTGACGCAGATGCAAATAACACAGACTGAAAAATATCTGAGCAGGCAAAAAGGCAAGGTGGGAATCCAGAATTTTCCTCTGCAAACACACTCCGGAGTACTTAAAAATTTACTGGTGGTGAGGATACCCAAACAGACATTAAACACTGAAACACCACAGTCCAGACTTTTAGCGTAAATGTCTAATAAAAGGAATACAATGTAGCCGGTTCCTTGGAAGCCAGGTTAAAAGCCGCAGCAACTGCAGTGTTTTCACTTAATAACAATCAAAGCTATTGCAAAATAACCCACATCACCCACTAGCCTAAAAAACAATCCCACAACGCATCACTTGCTCAAGCTCAAGGGAATATATGGGTGATATTATATCATGATAAAATACTTTAGCCATTAGACACATCCACTACTCTAACAGCTCCAGTCCTAATTCCCTCAAGAGTGTAAAAGTGTAATCAACATCTGGTTCATTGATTCAGATCATTTATATGACTAGAATTCTTTTCTCCAGGAGATGTGGTTCTGTGGGATGAAACATTTGACCAATCGTTTGGGGAAACAGCAGAACATCATTCTGTGGTCCTGATGCTGAGGGAGACTTCGGAACAAACCATGAAGTCTATAGCCAACATGGATCCTCCCTTATCCATGCCTGCAGGGAACAGTGTCTGTGCTTTTGTTCAGTGTCAGTGTCTGTGTGGTTAATGGTTGCTCTGTTACAGGCTGCTATGAGGCTCTACTGGTATGGTGACCACCATGCACAACACTCACAAAAAATATCTGACCGCATGTTTTTGCGACAAGTGCATCAAATGCCTAGAAGCACTATGACACCAGGACCTGCACCATGGCTGTTAAATGCAGGAGAGATTAATTGAAATACAGAATTCTAAGAAGCATTTCCCAATTATTAGCCAACCCCAATTAGCCACTAACCTTTCCTAGAGGTTTTTACAGGTGCGTCGGCTTCAGACATAGAAACCTTGTAGAAGACTTTGTTTATCCTTTGCCTGCAGAAGCAAACTGAGGAGTTACCCTGCGGTGACCTAATCAAACGTGTACCGCTCTTGAAGACGTTCCACAGACTCTTAAATCCGAAACACCTTAGGCAGCTTAAGTTTCCCACTCAGGCTTGAACCCCAAGCCCCTGCTGTGCTTTCGACACGAGATACTACATGAACTAACATGCGGCGAGGTTCGCCGAATGCGGACGGACAAGCCAGCACTGGAGAAGGTGCACGGATCATGCCAGCCGCTCGCGTAGGAATTCCTTTGTTTCAGATTCACTGCTTTGGGCTTCTTTTCCACTGGAAAGCGGATGTGAATGACAGAGACTGTTACTGAGGCCCATCCGAGTTCTCTTCACAGTCCGACAGCTGTCTAGGTGCAGATCACACCACCCAACCTGAGCCCTTATGGGAAGTTTAGATGTTCCACGCTGAGGCTTGAGATCTGACCAACACCCAAGCCATATACAGGGTTAAACAGAGGACCACCACTACACTCTGAAACAAACAAAACCGATGAACTTATTTCCGACTTACTTGGACCTAGGCTTAGGTGATATTAAGGTAATACAGAATACCAAAGTATTTTGAAATCTTGCCTACAAAATTTGCCGACTAGCGGGGAGTGCAGGTATGGTGGTCCCCCATAATAAAATGAACCGAAACTGGGGGGGGGGGGGCTATCTCAAGGTAAATTTTGCCCACCACCATCAAAACGTCTGGAAGGTATAACAGTGTGACAAACCAGACACCACCCAAGTCTGCTTGTCCCCACACCTGTGGTGTCAAACTACCTTTTCTTAACAAGATGTTTGACTGCTGTCTTGTCAGTCTATCATTAAATACATTTCCGGGCCATTATGTAAGTAAAAGCGCTATATAAAATTAAGCACAAGGAATCTGCTGCTGTGACTGGTGGTCTGCTGTTGAGCATGTTTGAAGAGAAGCTGTCAGGGATGAAATTATTTTGATCACTTGGTCTTAGAAGTGACTTACATGCATGTATGCAGCTGGTTGTTTCAGTGATATGGGCTGAATCATGTCTGAACTCAAGTGCACAGGAGTTCCAAAGGAACCACCCGACCCAAAAGCATTTCGGATGCAAGCCAACAAGTGTTCCTTAAAAACTGTCAGTGCTGCACTAATGTGGTCATGATGTCACTTGTGGGGAATATGTAAGGAAACTGGGAGACCGGCACCCCCCGGGGGAGGAGTGAGGTAGGACCTGATATCAGGTACCATGTGGCTTGGTCACAGATAACGTCCCCACCCTCCCTCAGCCCTGAGATCAGGGTTAGATCACAATTCTCTGATCAAACCTCCCACCCAACTGAAGAGTGAATAAAACTTCCTTGTGACGTGAGCAATGTCTGATTGTCCAGTGGCTGCCCCCTCGTATCTGGGGGGTAAGGTTTCACACAGTAAATCTTTGCGTTCCAATTCACCCTTACTCACAACCAGACCATTTAGAGATGTGATATAATTTTCTCAAGTGAGCAGTTGATCTCTTCTCTAAAGATTAACCCTAAAGTTCCCGGAACTCTGTCCTTTGCCGCGCCAAAGTTGTCCTTTAGCTGCCAAATAATATAGTTCTTGACGCATCTGGTCCAGACGTTCCTGAGATGTCCTACTACGGCTTTGCAAATAGACTAAACAACTGACGGCAACCGTTTCCCTCCACGTTCTACTCTACTCCCCCTCTCGACAGCTCATGCCTACAACATACTGAGTGTGTTACGTATGATTAAATATCTTCTGACACTGGCATTTCAGCACTCGTGGCCACTTGAGAAGTCCTGCACTCAGGGTCTTGCTCTGTTGTGTCTGAATCCACGTGGTGGTAATTCGAAACAGATGTCCGAAAAGCCTAAACCTGCTGACACTTCAAGAGACAGACGAAGGTCCCAGTCTTGCTGCTAGGTTGTGTGGCTCGAGAACCTGATGCATTTGGCCTTTCGGCCTGATTACATCACTTTTCCCCGAACCACAAGCACTCTCTATAAATCAATTCACTCTACCATCTGATAATAAGAGGCAGTTCCTCAGGGCTAAGGGCACCAGGAGGATGATCTAGACCTCTTCAACTGGTAGCCCAAGGCCCCAGGGGCAGCAAAGATCAGCTCAGAGAGGGGACATGCTGAAGGCTTCCATGGGCAGGTCTGCAGAGAAGTGGTGGAGATGTGTGCTCAGATGTAGTTTTATTGTACCTCTCAGAACAAGCCCAGGCGAAAAAAAATACAATGTTTTGCCGGTTGACTTGCATGGTTTTTGGGCAGAGGAATGCTCGCAGCTGGTCTGAGGTTCAGCATATGGTTCTTCCTGGTCCTCAAACTGAAGACAGACTTTGCAGCTGGCTAACATCTTGCGAGACTGCAGCTCAGAACATGAGTAGATAAGGGAATTTGGTTCACCTGTATGGTATCCATGAGGACCGCTCAAGATTTAGGTGCTGGGTATCGTCTGTTTGCCGCTAGCACTGCAGCTACCGTAGTTATCAGGCTGGTCAGAGAGATTCTCTCCCCCACTTCTTGCCTGTGGGGTGCCC